TGTCTGTCTGTGAGTTTATATTCAATCTGATAATATGATTATATCTGACTTAGTCAGCTGATTGCAGCATCATTTTTTCAGTCATTATTGAAGCTTGATAACTTCAGCAGATCTTTCAGCTTAATATATTTCATACTCAGATTTTCATTCTGCACAGTGATCTCTGATAATGTGTATACTTCTGAAGAGATTGTGAATGATTATGATAGAATCTTCAGGTTCAGCATAGTCATCTATCTGTGTAAATGTTTAATCTTCTGCTGCAGATCTAAGATCTGGTTTTCTCTATTCTTATTAATAATGATAATTGCATCAGTGAAGCTCTTCATAGTAAATACTTAATCTACAGTGAATATTAATTGTTGTTTGACTTTCATCTCAGCCTGTCACTGTGTATGCAAGACTTTGATCTTGTTTAGAATTCTCATACATGTACAGAGCTTTGATTTCAGTTCAGCAGTTTTAGCTGCTTTTCTTACTGCTTTGAGTAAATCCTCTGAGAGGTTCTGCATATCTTTCAGTTCAGATAGCAGAGAAGAATGTTATTCATATTGACTAGAGAAGATATTTATTTCAGTGATTTCTTGTTAATTATATGATATCTATCATTATCACTGTATCATTATATCACTATATCACTATATCATTATATCACTATATTGTTATATTGCTATATCACTCTGTTATCATTGTACAACTTCAGTGATGATCACTTCTCTCTTTTATCTCTTTGAGTGAAGAGCAGTCTTCTTTGAATCTGATTCACTGCTCTCATTTCTTTTCTCACATCTCATCTGTTCACATACATGATATTCACCTGAGTGTGGAGTTTTTTCTCAACAAGCAAAGCAGTATCAATCAGATACTCTTCTGCTCATCACTCTTCATACACTATCTTTTGAGACATTCTAGAACCACACTGACATGATAACTACAAATCACTTTGTAAATGAAATTATCATACTCTGGAGGAGCCTGCACTTCTCACTGATTTTTAGACATGCTATCAGATGTGATTCAAAGGTTGCTTAAGCCAGCATACAATTACAGGTGTACGCCGGCTTCTTATATAATGAATCTCATACACTAAATTAATTAGTGGCCGCTAGGGCCCTCTTTACATTCGTATGCTAGTAGTTCGGAAGCGGCCGTGTTATTATCTGATGGTCATACATTCTTCCGAATCACAGAATGTTTTTCAAGTGTAAAAGATCTATACTAAATAGATCAGTATAATATTTATAAATCTTATATAACAAAGGGGAAAATGTTAAAGAAGAAAAAGAAAGAGAAAGTATGAGAATCAGCAATTAGAGTGAATATTTATACATATATATAATAGTATACATGATAAATCTTCAGAGTAGAAGAATAGAAATTCTGTGAGTTTTTCAGCTGAGAATCAGCAATTGAGAATGACTGAGAATCAAAGCTTTCAGTGAAATCTATGAATTGTAATAAAATAGTCTAGATAATAATCAGACGCAGCTTATTATAATAAGAGATAATACTTCTACTTTATCAGTTAGTAAAAAGTGATCAGAGAAGTCACAGAGACACTTATAAGAAGCTCAGCAGTAGTTAGATATTATTTATAAAGATATTAAAATTAAAAAAAACTTTTATTCTTAAGAAGTTGTTGAATTAATATACAGATATTATCAGAAACACTCTCTTTCTATTATCTAAGTGAAAACACTTTATAAATGAATGAAGATACACACAGTTTATAAGAATAAGAGCTGTTATAGAAAAAGAGAAAAGAATATAAGATTTCACAGACAGATCTGAGATATTTATACTACTCTAGAGAGATAATTTTACTCTAAAAATGATTTCACAGAATAATCAGATTACTTTAATAAATAAAAAGTGATTATAAATTACAGATCTGATTCTTTCTATATAATTATAAAGAGTGATTACAGACTGTGAATATCTTAATTCTATAATTTTACAGAGTTAATAAAAGAATGAAAAATTCCTCATAATTCTACAGTGTTAAAGAATGATAATTTATGAAAATAAGTAAAAGATTAACTTATAAATACTTCTCTTTAATAAGAGTAATTTTATAGAAAGTGATTTATCTGTAAAATGAATCTGTGTAATAATTACATAAGAATTTTATAGAAATAGTTAAGAGTTAATCAGAACTCTTCTATATAAAAGATATAAAATAAATCTGTATAATAGTTAGAGAAAGATCTGCAGATTATAAAGAATTTTATAAAATAAGAAACTGAGTGATAGACTCTTTTCTCTTTATAGTAATAAGAAATTTTTCCTCACAAAGATTTTTTATAGATATGAAGAGTTTTTAGTAAGTATTACTACAGTACTGAGTCTTTTTCTATAAAATCACTTAGTAAAAGACTTCATAAATAAAGTCTTAGAGAGAAAGAAGTATGTAAGAAATCTCACTTCTTACAGATTATTTATATCTATTTCTATCTCTGAAATAATTAATAGAGTTAGTGACTCTTGACTACATACAACTATATAGACTGAAGTTTATAAATACTATTTATAACTCAGCTTAAATACTATTATATATTTAATTTCTATATTTTATCTTTCTATTATAAACACTTCTAATAGTTAATAGTATATATTATATCAAGCTATAAACACCTGAATAATTGCCTGTGAGCACTTATTCTTACAAGTTTATAGAAATTAAAGTATGTAAGTTTCTAGTTCTTTTAGTTATAATAAATAATTACTGACTAACAGAGCTTGAAATATAAGAATAAGTACTTACAGATGATTATTTAGATATTTGCAGCTTGATATGATATATACTGATAACTACTAGAAGTATTTATGATAGAAAGATAAAATGTAAAGATTAAATGTATAATCATGCCATGCTTACTCACTCTCTGTTAGACTGACCGTGTGACCGTGTCTGAAACCAGGACCAGATTTTTTTGATAGTTTCATTATCAATTCAACTGATTCCATTACACAGTTTTAACATTAGATAGTAGTCTCATACTGTCTCAGTGAGACTTACTATCTACTCTTGTCACATTTTTCAAATAAGATCATGATTTTCACTTCTCAATTTAAATTATTTTTATTGCTTTAAATGACTTTAAATCTCATTTGAGTGTTATCAAAAAGTGTTACTTTTTAAAAAATTAAAAATAGTCTAAAAAAAACTTTAAAATGTCTAAAAATAGTAACTTTATGTTAAGAATGGAACTAAATGAAATCAAATGAAATCACTTTCTCATTTTTTTCAAGTCATGATTTCATTTTAAGATCTGATATATAGTCACTTTACATGTTTTTTTTTTTTTTTTTTTTTTTTTTTTTTTACATCACAAATGGACCGCTCCACCACGAACTCGCTCGATTTTTCGAATAAGAACCCGCCGATAGATCCATCGAAAAGCCCTCGATCATACGAGCATTCTGACCCCATCGCCGACCGCATACCCTGTGTGGTGGTGGAGTTATCCAGCCAAATGTGAACCGGACGTTGTTCAAAACTCCTGTGTGGGAGTATCCCCCATTCTCCCCTACCACACCACAACCCCGGGCCAAAGTGCCATACAAATTGTAAGGCGAAGAGACCTAGCCATATGCACCAATCTTCTTGATTTTGGAAGATCCCCGATCTGTAGTTGTGGAGATATCTGAGGAGCGACCTCCGCGAAAACCCTGTCCATCTTTGATGTTTCAAAACACCAACGCCAAGTCCCACCGTTGTACCGCCCTTCCTAATCTGGCCCATCCCCGGCAGAAAAATACAAAAAGATACCTCGGCGATAATATCAAGCACATAACCAACGGCCACTTCTGAAGTGCAACCTCCGCGGTCTGTCTTCAGTGTATCTGAACATCAACGCCAAGTCTCGCCCTCGTACCACCCCTCTCAATCTGGCCCATCCCCGACAGAAAAGTACAAAAAGATACCTCAGCAACTGTACTCAATACATAATCGGCAGACACGACAACTATAAAATCAGTATACCCCAAGGTCTGACTGAGCCTTTGATCCCTGCACAGTGAGATATATTAAATCTAGTTTTAATACCTCAATATTCAATAGATTCTGCAAGGGATTGAGAACAGCAACACTAGGTTTCTATTGAATTTGAGAATTAACTCTATATTGATATAATCATTGACAAAGTCTTCTATTTTGAGATATAAATAACCAGTTCCTCTACATCCGCTGGCAATATTTATATTATTATATAGAAACAGACTTATATTCTCTATAATATTAAGACCCTGAAGAGGGAAAGTCTTGATAGGGGGTATACAGTAGTGCATATCTTAGCAGTTTCTATCTCATTCTTCTGCAGCAGTTAATGCAAAAAAAAGATTTTAGAAATAGTTTTTTACTTCTCTTAAAAAAGTAAGGTGTTTTTCTCTGGGTTTTATACAATATTCTTACAAAGAATTAAAAACAGAGTTGTTTTCTGTCATAATTTCATATTCTTTTAAGTAAGAATTACTTTTTCAGTGACTGAAGAGCTTTTATTAATACTTAATTCTTTTTTACACTCTTTATTAACTGATTTGAGTTGCACACCTGTTGTGCGAGGAGAATTGGATAATTTAGAATAAAATTGAATAGTTTTAATCAATTTCTCTTCAAAAAATTGATTTATTTTTTGTCAGTTTTTCTCTCAAAAACTGTCATATCATCTGATTTACTATCAATTGATATCATACTTTTCCTCACTGTATCTCAAGAAAGAGATTGTAAAGATTTTATTGATTTATCTTAAAAATCAATTTTAGTTTATTAGATTCTCTTCAAAAATCTAACCTAGTTACTGAACTAGTGTGAAAAAAATCAGGTGTTTTATACACAAAAGTCTGCGATTCTTCTTTTGAAATAGTCTGATCAACTTTTCAATTGAAAACAGACTTAGAAACCTCTTAATTGAAACAGTCTGACCAACTTTTCAATTCAAAAGAGTTTAATAAATATCTCAATTGAATTAGTCTGACCAACTTTTCATTGAGTAAGAACAATGAGTTCAAAAATACACTCAGTTGATGTGGAAAAAGATGCTTTCTCAAATGCTATTCCTGAGATTGAAATTCTGAAGAGAAGAAAGAAAGAAGAGATAGAGAAACAACAAGTTCTTGAAATACAGGAACTTGAAAAAGCAAGTAAAATTCTTGGAAAGCAGTGTCTGAGTGAGATGAATGAAGAAGTTCTGTTAATTCTTCATGCTCAGGCTAGACAACTACAGGAAGTGATCAAGTTCAAACTTGGAATTTCAAACACAGTTCAAAAAACTTTGAAAATTTCTAATACAATCACTGACTCTTCAGTTTGCTCTTCTTTCTTTTCTACTTCTTCTTCTTCTTCTTCTTTGAATCAGAAGAAAACATATGCTCAAGCAGCTGAATCTGCTGTCTCTAAATCTGCTGTCTCTAAATCTACTGTCTCAAAACCTGCTCAAAATTCTGAGAAAACTGAGAAGAATACTGCTCATGCCTCTATTCATAGAAAAGTGGAAAAGAAAATGCAAAAAGAGAAAAACTTCCAAATCTTCAGAAATAGAAGACTTATTCTCAAAGTCTCAAACCAGGACATTCTGCAAAGAAACAAGCTAAACTCAAATCTCATTTTCAGAATCAGAAATGAAATTAACCAGCAGTTCTTTTCTCAGTTAATGACTGATATTGAAGTTCAAAAACCAGTTATAGCTTCAATTGAATCATCATTCTTTGGAAACTCCATCATTCTGACTACAATGCCTGAATTCAGTGCTGAATTCCTTATTCAGAATGAGAATCTCTGGAAGTCAGCAGTAGAATCTTTGTTAAATACAACAATTCTATCTGAAAGAGATGAAAAGTGGAGCAAATTCATTCTTCATGATATTCCAGTTGAAATTTTTGACTGTGAAGAAGGAATGCTACTTCTCAAAAATGAATTGAAAGAATACAACTCTATTCAACTGAGAAAGGAGCCTGTATAGCTAAATTCAATTGAGTTCAGACAAAGCAGGAGAAATGCCTCTGTTCTAGTATATATAAAAACACTTGAACAGTCAAAGATCTCTGAAGTAAGAGTAGCAGGTTTGAAAATGAGAGTTCATGAATACAAAGACTCAAGGATGAACCTCAAAGCTCAAACACAGTGTTCAAACTGTCAAAGATATGAATACTTTGCAATCTCATGTTTTAGAGACTCAAAATGTGCATTCTGTGCCAGAGATCACAAAACTAGTGAGTATAAATGTGAAACATGCTCAAAAAGAGGTGAAATTTGTCAACACACTCTGCTTAAGTGCTCTAATTGCAAAGAAAAACATGCATCTAGCTCAAAAGAATGTATGTTTACTCCTAGAACTCAAAAGAACTGGAGAAAAGATGAAGCTCAAAGTCAATCTAGAACTGAAGAGAAGAGTCAAGTCAGTAAACTCACAACTGCAAGCTCAAAAAGAAGAAACTCTCAACTATCTAAGTCTTCAAACTCCAACTCTCCAGCTAAATGTAAACAGAACTTGAATTCTCAAACTCCTGTTAAGATTAGAGAATTGAGAAATGACTCTGATGATAAACTAGATATAATGCAAGCAGTTGAGATTCCTACTTTTCAGAACAGTTATAATCTACTATCTGATGATAGTGATTAGATTCTACTCTACTCTCTTTTAGTATGAATATACAACAAAAACAACAAAAAAAGTTTAAAAACTCTTCAAAAATCACATTTATTCAAAATAATGTGGATAGAAACTCAAATTGTATTTATTCTTGTCTTCAAATTGCATTTGAACAAAAAGTTGATTTTATACTGCTTCAGGAGCTGAATTTTGATGCTGAGCAAAAATATGTTATTTCTCATTCAAGCTACTACTGCTTTTTACCTCAAAAGTCTGAGATAAAGTCAAGAGTAGTGATCTATGGAAGAAAGAGATCAAGATATCAATTTAATCTAAGATTTGATATCATGTCTGACCCTGATATTCTGGTGGGTGATATTATAGATAAAGAAAATGAGTTTGATACTATACAGCTCATAAATATCTATAATGAAAAGTCATTGAAGAAAAATAACAATATCTGGACAATTGATAGAGGATTTCTGAACATAACTCCATCAAGAAACTCTATAATTGCAGGAGATTTCAATGCACATCATCCCTGATGGAATTCAGAATGCAAGAGAGCAGTGAGAGCTGATAATCTGATTGAATGAACCTTTGAGCATTCAATAGATTTGATTAATAAGTCTGATCAACAAACATTCTTTAGAAAAGGCATGAAACAGAAGTCTATTATAGATCTAACCTTCATGTCACAAAATCTAATGGAAAGAAGACTTGTAAACTGGTTTATTGATTCAAATGAGACATCAGAATCAGGTCATGAGATTATTCAATTTAATATTGAACTGAGTGAAAAACAAATGAGTGAAAATCCTCTTCTCTCTAATCAGTATAACTTTGAAAAAGCTGATTGGAAAGCAGTTGAAGAAAGCATAAAACTGCTAAAATCTGAAAGACAGAATGAGCTATATTGAAATTCTGGTCAAGATATCTCAAATGAAATGCTTGAGAATAGAGTGAAGCTTATTACATCTATTATTCTAACAAGTGTTAGAGATAATATTTCAAAAAGAAAATCTTCTGAGTATTCAAAACCTTGGTGGAATGAGAATATCTCATCTAAAAGGAAAGAATTAGCTACTGCTAGAAGATATTGAAAAAATGATGTAATATCTGATGAAGAGTTCAAAGCTGTCAGAAATGAATATTTTTCAGATATCAAAAGAGCTAAAACAGACTGCTGGAATAAATTTCTTGAAGAAGCACAAGAGAAGGAAGTTTTTAAAGCTTTTAACTATACTAAAACAAGAAGTGTAGCAAAACTTCCAGCTCTAGAATATGAGTTTCAGAATGAATCATATACAGCAAACTCTTTTGAGGAAAAATGTCAAGCTTTCATGAGAATTCTCTTTCAGAACTCATCAGACTCAGATTCAGATTCAGAGGAAGAGAATATATCACTTCTCAACTACATTGATGAAAATGACTGGGAATGGCCTGATCTTACACAAGATGAATTAGAGTCAGCTATCTTCTCAAGTTCTGTTAAAACTGCTGCAGGTCCTGATTCAATTAATCACTTGATTATTCAAAATACATATTCCTACTTAAAGAATGAATATTTGAGCTCTTTTCAATCTCTTGAAAAATGAATATCATTCTGAATGCTGAAGAGAAGCCACTGGAGTGATTCTTGCAAAACCTAATAGAAAAACTTCAATTTCTAAGTCATATAGAGTAATATCTCTATTGAACTGTTTAGAAAAGGTTTTAGAAAAGATAATAGCTACTTAACTATCTTTTATAAGCTCTATAGATGATTCTCTTTTATTCAGTGAATAAATGAGAGATAGAAAACAGTGTTCTGCAATTGACACTGTTCTCTCAGTTATTCATGATATTCAAATAGCAAAGCATGAGGGTCTGGTCTCAACTGCAGTTTTTATTGATATAAAGAGAGCATTTGATCATATTTCAAAGTCAAAGTTAATTCAGACATTGAAGATATTAAAACTGTCACTTTCTCTAATAAAATGAGTTAACTGTTTTATATCTAAAAGAATTATACAACTCTTCTTTGATGAAATGAAATAAGACAAGACTGAGATAAAAATAGAAGTATCACAGAGATCTTCAATCTCACTCATTTTATTTGCAATATACACTGCATATCTATTTAAAAATAGAAATATGAGAATAGTGTGATCTCTGAGTTATGTGAATGATATTGATCTAGTCTACAGCTCAAAAACTATCAAAGAGAATTTGAAAGTAATTGAAGAAGCTGCAAAGAAAATCTTTGTTAGAGCAGATATCAATCAAATTCAATTTGATATGAATAAAACTGAGTTAATTCATTTCTTTTCTAGACTCAAAGAGAAAGAACTATCTCTAACTCTTTTAAATAGAGAGATTAAACCCAGTGTAAATGTCAAATGATTAGAAGTATAGTTAAACTTCAAGTTGAATTTTAAATATCACATTCAACAAAGAACTTGTCAAGGCAGAAAGACTATTGAACAACATAATCAGACTATCAAATACAGAGAGAGGTCTATTCTTCCAGGCTATGAGACAGTTATATATAGCCTGTATTACATCAGTAGCTGATTATAATGTTCAAGTTTGATGGAATAATCAAGGGAATTTCACTGAACTCTTTCAAAGTCTGCAAAACAGAGCCTTGAGAAGAATTCTGAGAGTATTCAAATCATCTCCTATTAAAGCAATGGAAATTGAAGCTTCAATTCCTCCTCCTGCTATTAGATTTGAAAAGACCTGTATGAACTATGCTCTGAGAGTTGTAAAGATGAGCTCAAATCATATAATCAGAGAAAGAGTCTCTTCTTCATTTTCATCAATTAACTCTGGAAATGAACTGAATTGAAATAGATTTCTTGATTGAAATGAAAATGATTCTTCAAAGAAAATGTCTTCTCAACTGTACAGACTATGCTCTCTGATTAAAAATCAATTTTCTTCTTTAAATGTTGAAAAAGTTGATCATGAGAAGTTATCTCTCTGGAGAGAAAAGCTTGAATCTCTTATAGACTTACAAATAAGTGAACTATTAAAAGAGAAAGAATATGAATAGCATTTGAAGAGAATTTCTACAATCAATATAAAAGACTCTATTCTGGTTTATTCAGATGGCTTAAAAAATGAGAACTTGAATAGATTAGGCGCAGGCATTGCTTATACTGAAGATAATATTAATTTTATCTCAGATTTCTGGAATCTAGGCTCTGAATGTGAAGTCTTTGATGCTGAACTATTTGCAATAGTGAAAGCTTTCAAACTCATTGAAATAAAATCTCATAAAAGAGAAAATTGTTTGAAAGAGGTATGAATATTCTCTGATAGTCAAGCTGCTTTAAAAAGACTTAGAAATAGTCAGATTCATAATGGTCAAATGAATCTTGAACTGATCTTAAACTCTGTTTTGAAAATTCAAAAGAGAAGAACATCAAAGCTGATAATTCATCTACACTGGGTTCCTGCTCACATGAATATTCATGGTAATGAATTGGCTGATTCAGCTGCAAAAAAGGGTGCAGAATTAAGCAGATCTATTCAAAAAATTGTGTCCTGGTCTTTTATAAAGAGAAAAATAAAAGAATCTTGTTTAGACAAGTGAAATGAAAGCTGGCAGAAACAAAAGAAGAGTATACATTATTCAAGATTTGAAACAAAACCCAAGTGGAAATCTTGTTCAATTAAATGTAAAAAGAAAATATTCTCATCTATAATACAGCTGAAACTAGGACATGGCTATTTCAAATCTTATATACAAAGATTTGATGATAGATTTGACTCAATAGAATGCTCATTCTGCAATACAAATGAGAATCCTGAGCATATTGTAATGCACTGTGCATTATACAATAGTCTCAGAGCCAGATTGAAAGAGAAGTATGATCTAAATCAATTAAATATGAGATTCTTATTCTCAACTGAGACAGGAATTAAATACTTAATAGACTTTCTATCAGAAACTCAAGCAGCTACAAGAAAATGGCTAAATTCAGAATTATCTGAGTATGAAGAGGAGGAAATAAATCAGATATAGTCTGTTAAAACAGCTATACACTCTCTTTTAATAATTTGTTTTGTTATAGTCTCTCTTTACTTTATCTTTTTCTTTATCTTTTTCTTTCAATTTCTTTCTATCTATTTATTTAATGTGTCTATCTTTGAGACTGTGTTCTTTTTCTCTTTTCTTTTGTCATGATATTGTCAAATGATTTCAAAGTATCAAAAGATGTTAAAACACTGCAATTTGTAAACAGTTTTTGTATTCTGAGCTGGAATTTTCTGATTTTGCATATCTGAAATTGATGAATGTATAATAGTTAACTTTACAGACATAGAAAAAACCCTGAGAACTAAAGTTCTCAGGTAGATGTCATAGTCTCTGACTGCATACATCTATAATTGAAGAATAATAATAATAATAATTACATGTTTTTTTAATAGCCAGTCCCAGCGGGATTCACACCAAGAAATGTATGAGATCAGATCAAATGAAACCAAATGTGAAATTCATGGTCTCAGCGGCCAGTCTACTCTCTGTAGTGAGTGTGTCACAGTGTATAGAAAACCACACTGTAAAGAAAATATTTTAAATATAGTAATCTTCAAAAATTAATTAATAATTATTATTACATCTATCTATAATATAAAGATTATCTATATACTCATAAGAAGGTGTAGAATTCACTGTAAGTTAAGATTCTATAGAATTATCTTATTATGATTGAGTGACTGTAGATTTTGTAGATTTGATTTCAATTAATTGAAGAGTCTTATTAAATATCTTTTTCATCTCATCTGCTCTACAGATTGCAATCTTACAATTGACATTCTTAATAGTAAGAACTTCATCTACTTGCACCTGTCTGCAGAAGAATTTAATGACCTGATATCTATTTACTTAATAATAATTTGTAAGTTCACTCTTATAATATGCATTCAATTTCATCTGAATTATGCTACTCTTGAAGATCTTGTTCAATTATCTTGTCAAATCAGATGTAAGAGTATTCTTCACATCTTCTAAGATCTTGACTGCTGTATTAATTTAATGATGTAGTTTTGCAATCATCTCTGAAGAGATTAATTATGAGAAGACAGTTGATAATTAATCTGCAGATGACAGAGTAAAGTGATTGTATACATTATTATTATCATTATATATGTTGAGATCTGAAGCATTATTTTAGATTCATGAGTTTTTACTTGACTTATTTGTAATCTGATAGGCATTTGATAAATCAATATATTCACATCTTACTTACTGTGAGAGATGCAGTCTCTGAATCTGTATAATACTATCTCAACATGCAGTTCACAGCAGCTTTGATATACTTAATAATGAATAAGTAAAAATTAATATTCAACTGATGAATTTATATCTTAATTATCTCTTTCTGACTGTCATTCAATGCTTGATTCAGTGAAACTCTCATAGTTCTTGATTTCTTCTCATTGATTCTCTTATACAAGGTGATATATGAGACTTTGAATTCTTGCAACAGAGACATGATTTTTGATTTTGAATTATTTTTATATATATTAACAGCTCTTTGCAACTGCTTCTCAGTGTAATTAGAAGATTTAGACATGATTATAATTAATAATGATTATTTGAATATGAAGAATGAAGATATTGAAAATATTTTCTTTACAGTGTGGTTTTCCGTACACTGTGGCGCACTCACTACAGAGAGTGAGTAAGCATGGCACAGTTAATAGTATTCAAGCTGAGTTATAAATAGTATTCATGAACTCCAGTCTATATAGTTGTGTGTAGCCAAGGGCCGCTAACCCTATTGGTTACGCGACAAGATAGGAATAGGGGTAAAGGATCCGCGACTCCGCGAGGAGCGGGATTTCTTACAAGTACATATCACGCCAAGCTGCAAACATCTGAATAAACAACTGCGAGCACTTATTCTTACATGAATGTTTTTCAAGTGTAAGAAGCCTACGCTGAATAGATCAGCATTAAGATATAGGTCTTATATAACAAAAGTGGAAAATGTTAGAGAAGGAAAAGAGAAAGTGCGGGAATCAGCAATTGAAGTGGATATTTATACGCGTATGAGGTGGAGCTTCGGAGTGGGAGAATAGGAACGGAACTCCGTGGGTTCCTCAGCCGAGGATCGGCGGCCGAGAATCGGAGCTTTCGGTAGGAATCTATGGAGTGTACGGAGTAATGGAATAGTCTATATGATTGATCGGGCGCAGCCCGCTACAATTGCATTTTATCAATTCCTTGATTTACTAGGTTTTATAGATGAAGAGGGACAGAATACTACTCAAACTCAATGTAGATAGCATGATTTAGATGGATTCAAGGATGGCATAGCTAGATTTGTAAGAGATGATTGATCTTTTTTATGGCATTTGAGACCTCGCATGGCGATGCGAGGGTGTAGTGTCTGCCCCAGTGGCGTTGCCATAGCGACTGCTCCGCCTACACGTGATCTCATATGTCATATAAATATAGCTAGCTCTTCCAACCGAATACAACAGATTAACCATCCCACACCAGTCGGGAAGTAAGCCGAAGCCGACCTCAGATCTGAGCCAGAAGAACAAGAAACTTGGGAAAAGCCGTCCTGTGTGAGGTAAGTTCTATCTAAACAACGCTGTTGTCTAGAGACGGCCCAGAGATACCCTGGACAAGACAATGGCTGTCCCTCGCCCCGTTTCGTGGCAAAAATTTCAATTTCAGCTCCGGCTGTTACCCCCAAACAGTCGGTCCGTTACGAGCACTGCTGCAGTCAATGCCCGTGCTGCCGTACATCAATCTTCTCACACCTCTCCATCTGCTCCGGTTACGCGTGAATTCGATTCGAGATGGCTATCGACGATTAAAGGGCGGCTAGGAAAATGCCTTGCGTTCGGACTGAAGTCACACCAAGTTAACGAGGCGGGGGAGATCCTCCAGGTTCTAGCTCGGGATTGGCGGGAGTTGACCGCGGGGAGCGAAGGGTTTCTCACGGGGGTAGAGAGGCGGGGCCTCTACCGCCACAATGTCGTGTGGGGGGAAATGGTATATAACTGCTCATTCAATTGCTAGAGTTTGGCTTGATAGGCTAATTACTCTGCCCTTCGCCGAACCTGACAGGATGTCATGGTGTGTAGCCTCTCTCTTCCATTTCTACCCCCGTGACCGCAATATGCTACAGTTGATATACACAATGTGCCCCATTTGTGTACTCTCTCTCGATCATTTTTCTAAGCTCATTTGAACTGTACAACCTGCTGAAATAAGCCAATTATAAGGGTAGAGCTCTCCGTTCCCCTGCCAAGCCGCCATGTTCGGCTCCCATATACACAAGTAACGGATGTCTAATCCCACCGCGATATTTTCAGGCCACGTAAATAATGTAGCGTACGTGAGATATGCGGAGACCGCACGGGTCAATTGGGCAAGAAACATTGGTACCCACGTGGATCGTGCCAACAGGAGGGCATGGATCAACCTTCTTGGTTCGACCGGAGTGGGTTTGATATTGAAAAGCATCAAGATAGATTATAAATTTGTAAGTTTCAAGAGGCCATTTCGCACACTGTGATGTACATGTATCATATACCTGGATATGCTGTGCGATCAGTTCGTCTAAGTCGAATAGAACCAGCCAGTGCAACTACCTGCACGGCCACAGCCACCACAACATGACTGCTAACGTTAGTGGGCTGGCGTTTTCAAAAAATCAAAATGTGCAGCCTATGACCGCTCCAGATAAAATAAGCGTATACCACAAGCTATCACATCCTCCTCCAGCGCCTTCTTCTCCAGAGTCCTCTTCATATTCATCGTTCCAGCTAGATGTTCTAATACTTTCCGAGGCACATCAGCGGCCTGCCGCACGTTGTCGTGAGGACATTGTCACATATGACTACCAGCTTGGGCGCAAAGTAAAGACGCTGCCGCCGTTCATGATGGACCAGTTCCGGAAAACGTGGGAATTGCAGGAAGAATCTAGGCGGACGTGGGGTTTGAAGGTGAAGGAGATCGAAGATCGAGTGAGAGGGCTGGAAACATCTAGCTGGGATCGGCCAGATGCTGTGGAGGATATGGGCTCTTCGGGATGATATATATGTCAAATTTGTCTAAGGGTATATAGATTGTATTCATATAGAAAGTGGTACCCGGGTGGTGAGTGCTTAAAGATGTTAAGATGATTTTGTTACACGCAAGTTTTCGAGATATCCACTTTTGCTATCCAGTGTTTCCCGTTACACAACACTCAAGGCTTAATTAAGGCATCACGGACTGATTTGGATGCTTTCTCAAAACTCACCCCATTAATTTATTTGAATCTTTCCACTTGTTCATTTTAAATTTTAAATCATTTTAAGTCTTTGTTCCTTTTTGATGATAAACTTTGCTGAATTCAAACTTCCTCAAGTGGAGTTCTCTCTTTCCCAATCCTTGAAATTCTCAGTAATGGTAATATCTGGTTCTCCATTGCACAACAAGGCACAATTATATTGAAATTGACACTTCGACATCAGGAAAGTCTATCCCACTCGGGCTCCATTGTTTCCAAGGTTCCTCACTCTCGGCGCGTGAAGGTTTTGGTATTACCGGTTGGCCGTAATATTAATACGCAGTGATACGTTACAGTATGGTCACGTCTTCCCCTGAGGCTGTGTCAGGAAAAAGAGGTTATACACTACTGAACGCCACCAACATCGTATTACTGAACGCCACCAACATCATATTACTACAATATTTCTCATCATCATCAGCTTACTACAACACTCATCTAATACTCGCTTATGCTAGCTCTCTTGGCTCGCACATATATTTTACTATAAATAGCTCCATCTTTTGTATGAAATAGATATATTAGATAGTGTACAGATAATATAACAAGCAGATCTTGATACAGATAAGATTCATATGTCTTCAATATATTCATTCATGACACTCAATTCAACAGTTATGAGCCCGGTAAGCAGCATCTGAAGAGAAGTGTGATAAATCAATCCCAATTCTCATTTGAATTTGACAACAATCATTCAAACTGAGATGATTGATCCTCATTTGTATACAGTCCGATCAACTCAACCATTATATCATACTCAATTCTCAGTAAGCAGCATCTGAAGAGAAGTGTGATACATCATCAATTTCAATCCTCATTCAAATTTGACAACAATCATTTGAACTGAGACAATTGATTCTCATTTGTATACAGTCTGATCTACTCAACTGTTATATCATACCTGATTCCTGATTCCTGTCCTCATTCAAACTGATAACTATCATTTGAACTGAGATGATAGATTCTCACTTGTATATGTTTCAAAATACTCAACTGATATACACTCTGAATTCTGATCATATCTATCCTTAAATACTTGAACTGATTCCTCAATTCATTCAATATAACTGATATGACAGACAAGACAATGTCTAGTGTGACAGTACACCTTAGTGTTCCTGGAGATTGAAAACTTTGGTACAAGCATATGCTAGAATATGCAAAGAATAAGAAGGTATCAGACTTCATCAATCTTAATAAACCTGATATCTTCTCTGAACTAGAAGAACCTCTGAAACCCGAGAGTTCAGAAGAAGCCACCGCGGAGGCTAAGATAGCATATGATATCAAGGTCACTGCGTGGAAAATCAAATATATGAAATATGAGAAATTGAATGAAGGTATGACAAAGATACAAGATGTCATATAAAGAACAGTGAATGTCACAGAGCTACAACATGTACATAGCAAGAATGATGATGTGAAGAAGATTATTTATTCATTAAGAGATTGTCTCTCACCCATGACTGCAGACTATCAAGATGATGTGAGAACCTGATATCATGATCTCTGCAAAGCACTGAAAAACAGAGGTATAGAGAAGTGGTTAAATGACTGATCACTCATCAAAGATGATATCAAAGAGGCAGATATAGCTGAACAGTTCAACTTGAAGAAAGATTTCTTAAATGTGAACCTAGCTATTGATGCAGGTTATGCACAAGCATGGGCTAAGAATGTTCAATGTGATAAAGATGTTATATCTTTGATAGAGTTAGTTAAGAACTTCAAGAAACAGTATAGAGAAATGAGTATTCTCAAAGAAGATAAATCTATGAACTTTGCTACTCTTAATGAAAGATCTCAGCAATCAACATCAGTGACATTCAGAAACTGCATCTACAGAGTCTGTCACTGATACACTCAGTGCTACTATCTCAATTCATCAAGAAAGCCACCTGAATGAAAGGAAAATGAGGAGAAGAGAACTCAGATTGATCAAGCTCTTAAAAATCAAGAATTGAAGAGATGTGTTGATCATGTGATATCTAGAGATTCATTCATGAATATGAATATGATAGATGTCAATGAAGCAGTTATAGAAGGAATAGTTCTGAAGCAATCAGTTTCTCAATCTATCAATCATCAATCTATCAATCATCAATCTATTAATCATCAATCTATTGATCATCAATCTATTGATCATCAATCTATTGATCATCAATCTATTGATCATCTATCTATTGATAATCAATCTATCAATCAGCAAATCTGAAAAATATCAATGAACTCTTCACATTCTTGCTTCTATCTCTGAAACTCCTGAATCTTTGATACTGGTGTGGAACAGCATATATGCAATAATCAAACATGTTTTCTATCCTTTACACCTGCGAATGAGAATGCGGAAGTCTATACAGACAATTCCAGCACTAAAGTTGAAGGTTATGAAACTGTTAGAACTATCATGATAAATGAAGCAGAAAAGCAGTTCAATGTCAATCTCATCAATGTGGCTTACATCTCAAATTTCCATATAAATATCATTGCATGGAAACTGTGTTTCCATATAGAAGGCATCTATTATGATGGAAAAGACTTCAGATTGTGAAAATACACAGATAATACAATCTTTACACATGTTGAAGTATTTGAGAGATTGCTAGTTACAGAATATAGTGATATAACTGTTTTCTCAACTATATCAGAAAAATTCACTACTGAAGTCAATGCAGCTATCACATCACACACAACTAACATCACTATATCTGAAAAAACAAAATCTTCAAATTCTTCAACTTCTACAAATCATTCTTCTTTCAACCTGTCAAAATGCATAAAACCTTCTTAAAAACCTAAGATCTCTATAGCTACTCAGTCTACATGATATAAGAGATTAGAACATTCATCAAAAATCATCATTCAAAAGCTTACAAATGATGCAACTGATGTTCAAATCATCAATCTAGAAGATGCTGCAGATGAGCTTATCACTGAGCTTTGCAAACCCTGTCATCTATCTAATGCAAAAAATCAAATATCTAGACATTCTCATGTTAGATCTCAAATATCATTTGAACACCTACACACAGATATCACACATGGCCCTACACAGTGCTATAATGATGAGCATTATCTCATACATTTCATGTGTGATTATCTACATTTCCATATAGCTATAACAGCTATCTGAAAATCAGAAATCTGAAAAGCTCTTAGACAAGCTATCAATTGAATTAAATGTCAATTCAACTGTACTACAAAGATCATTTGTATTGACAATGATACTGTAATCAAGAAAGCAGATGATTTCATAAATTGAGTGAATGATGAGGGCCTAGAGATGGAGTATTCTTCAGAGTATATTCATGAACAAAATGATGCAGCAGAGCAAGCAGAAGTAATATTAATAACAAAGACAAGAACTCTATGAATAGAATCCCTTCTGTCACAATCACTATTTCCTGAGATTGCACTTGCTGTCACCTACCTAGTGAATCAAACCTCAACTAGAATCCTAGATTGAAAGTCATCTCTACAAGTATTGAAAGAATTCCTACAAATTGAACCACACTTCTGTGCTCATCTTCAAATCTACAGATATCACATCTATGCAAAGATACTAGATGAAGTTCTTAATAGAAACCACTCTCAGAAGCTAGATTCCTGAGCACATATTGAATATCTAGTTGAATATGATTCAACAAACATCTATCAAATTTGAATTCCACACTTAGAACAGATGATAAGAGCAAGAGATGTGATGTTTGATGAGAATAGAAAATTCAACTCAGAAGATCTCTACATTGAAAGACAACTAAGAGATTGAGTATCTAAGAAGGTGAAGCTTCTATATATGAAAGTTTGAGAATCATTGATGACTACTATCAATCAATTGAAAGAGATTATAGATGCAGATATTGATGTTTTTCACTCTGAAGAAAATGCTCAAAGCTCTGAAAAAATAGAGGAGAAAAATAATGTTTCAATCCTTTCTATATCAGATTCAACACCAGAGCCAACAGATTCTGATATTGATATTAATACTTATTCAGCTGTGATAGATAATAGAACACAGAACATTGCACCTAGAGCTCATGATATCAGTGCTGACTTTGATGAAGCAAATATCATTGATGGCTGCAGAACCTGAAAACACAGAGCTGTTCATCTTGTGACAGTTTCAATTGTCAAAGACAATTCTTATCAAATAATCAATAATGCATTCTCTTATTCAAATTCATACACAGACTTTAATAAGTCTCAAAATTTAATTTCTAATACTGTTTTCACAGTTATCAACAATACAGCTACATCAACAGCATTCATATTGACTTCAAGAATTCATAGATCTCAAATGCCAGATTCATCAAATCATTGAGCAGATGTCAAAAAACACCCACATCATGAAGAATTTGAGAACACTGTTAAGTGAGAATGAGATAGTATATCTCTGCAGAATACATATGAAATTACTAGCAGATCACAGAGAGATGTCTCAGTTATCTCTCTATAATGAGTATTCATCTACAAATTCAATGATGAAGGTTTTCTTTTGAAATACAAAGCTCACATCTGCATACATGGAGATCTTCAATCAACCACAGATCTCACTACAAAAGCTCACACACTAGCTGCCAGAGATCTCTGAATCTTGTTAGCTTTAACAGCAGCATTTGATCTAGATATGAAACAGCTAGATGGAATCAATGTCTTCATTAATAGTGATATTGATGAGCTAGTATATGTGGAACTATCTGATAAATGGTGAAAGTTGAAGAGGATGCAAAATTTGAAGTGTACAAATCATGTATTAAAACTTCTATGAGCACTATATGAATTACACAGATCATTCCTTCTCTGGTTAAATGAACTATCTTCAACATTGAGAACATTAGGCTTCACCTCTATATCAGAGAATTGATGTCTCTTCTCTAATGATTGATTAATCATCTTCTTCTATGTGAATGATATCATCATTCTATCGCGATGAGAAGATTCAAAAGAAAGAGATCAACTAATTGAAGATCTTAAAAATGTCTACAAGATCTGACAGATGGGAGATTTGAAATGATTCCTCAACATGCGAATAATACGCGATCGCCTCAACTTGAAGCTCTGGCTATGCCAGGATGCCTATATTGATAAGATAGTTGATACATATCATCTTGCACACACCTGCAAGGCATATACCTCACTAACTGATGCTCCATTAGAGCCTTTTAACAAGCCAGCTAGATCTGCAAAAATCCATAATTATCAACAATATATCAGCTTCTGCATCTACTCAGCAGTGATGACTCACCCTGATATTGTATATGCAGTGAGTAAACTAGCTATATTCATGATGAATTCATCAGAACATCACTCATCAGAGGTGAATAGAATGATATCTTATCTACATGATACAAAGAATCTCACTATTCAATATAATGATAACATTGGCAGATCTCTACAACTTGATCTCAAACCTGATATCATTGAAGCTGTCAGTGATGTCTCTTTTACAGATAATTCAGATCACCGCTCTACACAAGAATATATCTTCAAACTATTCAGTGAGACTGTTGATTGAAAATCAAATAGACAGACAATCATAACTACATCTATCACAGAAGCTGAGCTTGTTACTATCTCACAAGCTGGCAAGGAGTCTATCTGATGGAATAGGTTCTTTCAACATATTCAATTTGAACCTGGCCACAAGATCTGTATCCAATGTGATAACTGTCAAACTGTTGACATTCTTACAAAGGAAGACCTCTCTATAACCATGAAGCTCCGCCATGTTGATATATATGGAAGCTGGCTCTGAGAATGTGTTCAATCCGGCGATATTACAGTTGATTGGGTGCCTACGGCCCAGATGCCAGTGGATGGCCTCACTAAGGCTCTGCCACACCAGAAACATACAGAATTTGTCAAGATGCTAGGCCTAGTTGATATATCAGATATCATCAAGGCACAAGCAGATTAAATGATCTATCTTGATATAATCTCTACAGATTCATCTACACTCTTTTTGTTGCAGCTTCATTTACATTTTCATTTACATGTTACATTTGCTGAAGGGGGTGTGTCAGGAAAAAGAGGTTATACACTACTGAACGCCACCAACATCGTATTACTGAATGCCACCAACATCATATTACTACAATATTTCTCATCATCATCAGCTTACTACAACGCTCATCTAATACTCGCTTATGCTAGCTCTCTTGGCTTGCACATATATTTTACTATAAATAGCTCCATCTTTTGTATGAAATAGATATATTAGATAGTGTACAGATAATATAACAAGCAGATCTTGATACAGATAAGATTCATATGTCTTCAACATATTCATCCGTGACACCCAATCCGACAGGCTGTCATCTAGTACCCGATTTCCCGATCAGGTGTAATGATGCGGCCGACTATCAGGATATGTACTGTACATGTATGATGTAGCTTGGTGATTGTTGAACACGGGCACAAGCTCTCCCATCGGTCCTATCGGATAGTCAGGGAAATATGCCAGAACTCAACCTCTACTGACCAATGTGAGGATATCAAGGCTTCGAACCGCGTCCAATTGGCACACATCTCTCTGCTGACTCCCTTGACTCAGGCTGATGAAATGACTCCGGTCCCAAACGTGGCGAACGGGAGGAATCTTGAAGCTTGTCAAGGTCGTCCATCACATAGCACTTTGCGGAGGAGCTCCCTCTTCCTCTCAGTGTTGTTTCTGCAGGCGGTCAACAGGAAGCCATATCCAGCGTCTGATCCGTGCGTTGTAAGCAACGAATGTATCGTGGGGGGTAGTGCACTAATAAACCCAGAGCGCTGAAGATTGATTAGCTATCCGTCTTCTAGCTTTTTTGCTGAAGATTTTTCTGATGTCAAATTGAACATCAAGCTACGGCAAGTGGTGGCTCTATTCTTAGGGGTGTAAGGACTTCGGCCGGGCTCTTCGGCTAGGATCCCACATCCGCACGCTCGTAGAACTTGCTTGGCCCGCCAGCGCAAACTACCCACCTAGGCATGCCTATGTCAATCCCGTGTTGCCTTGTTACAGCAAAATAGTCATCCAACTAGTTACCGTTGAGTTGTTGCATGCCTTCCCCTTCCGGTTGAAGACAGCTCATTCAGTGTTGTAGTCGTGTGTAAGTAGGCTTTGATTGAAACAAGGAATTTTCCCCTCCTGCCGGTAGTAACACGTTCTTTTTCATCCTTGAGCCTCTGAAAGGGAAAAGGAAGGATATTCCAACCCCGCTATTCATATCAACGCTGGGATCATCATCAATCACTATCAATTGTGGTTAAGCACCCAAAAGCGATCCAACCTGCAATCCGCATGGAGGTTGGCCCCAGCAGCAACGTTCATCCACCACATGCCTGAGAAAGTTAATTTGACACGGTGCGAGAATATCAATTCATCTGTCTTTGTGTGAACCATGACCGCGAACCCTTAGCCATCAGCAACCCCATTTTCCGTATTATTCTCGTCTCATTTGATGAAGTCATGGCCATCTTCCAACTCAGCCGTGCACACCCCACGCTCCGATAAAACAAATTTGTTGGTCTGCATTTCCATTAATGGTTGCCAGATAGTTTTGCCTGGACATTCATGACTGGAGAGAAGACCTCTCAACCATTGTGAGTCACGGCCATGCAGTGACCCGTGAGAAAGTGTGTCGGGCTAAAATTTAGCACCGATTCATTCAAATTCGACTACCAGCAGGGCTGCCGAGATGAACTCTTTCATTTTCCAACTGGGCAAATACAGCGCCCATCCTTTCCCAATTTCTCAAGTTAAACTCGTATTTGTTCGTCCAAACAGCACTTTTCTTCTAGCTCGGGTTTACGAACTTAGAGAACCCGATGCGCGGGCCGGCGGAGTGCGGGTGGTCTGTCCTGATCAATGGCCGCTTTCCCACAAGCAAGGTATTAGTGGGATGATCTGACTCGCCCAGCTGGCAATGCTTAACATCGTTTTCGAGGGAGGGGCTAGCGCTGAAACGACGGCCTCCCCATACAACACCAGTTGTCAGCTACGCGATTGACTTGTTTATTGTTTGAAGGAGGGAAAGTTCTGAAATATATTCTTCATTTGAATTTCGTTCACGTCCCTTTCGTCTCGAGTCCTGACTACCCGAGCAGCTGCCAAAATTCCGTCAATCAAGCTCGGACCTCAAGCCTTGAATTTTTTTCCCCACTATGGTAGGGCGATGTATGATGTGCCGTACTGTACGGGTTTTAGCAGGCTTGGTATTTTGGATCGTATCCGTGTATCGGGAGGCCATCGTAAGTGTGAAACACCAGCACTAACTTGACTGAGCTAACGACTCGAACAAGGATGGCCACTGAGATCTGTGAACTAGGCGCTGGGGGGCCAGGCCTAGCTCCTCTCTGCACAAACTCCAACACTCCTGGCCTATCAACAGGAGCAGAATTCGAAAATTTCCAATTACCCGGATGCTCCAGGCCGAGGATTTGTCACGGCCTTGTGAGCCTTGGCAGCATTTCCCCACAGAGAGTGCTGATTTGCGTAGCCACATCTGTGTTAGCACTGAGCCTAGGATGTCGCAGAGGCATCTGCTGGTCCAACAACGCCTACATCTCTAGCTGGAGCGTATGCCATTGAATCTGTCCAGGCCGTACCCGATGAATTGCGATTGCATTTATTCGATATGTCTCTGTCAGCACTTAAGAAACCTGTGCAAGTGCTTGCTACTATCATCAAGATGTTTTGTACTGTACCAGAACTAAAAATAGCTTAGTCACCAACAGGAAGCTTGGAAGTAAATGCCGTTACAAATACAGCGTACGTACGGGGTACAGAGTACGGAGTACGGAGCTATTTCGTGGTGTTATTTTGATCTTCATGCAGAGGAATCCGCACATCGTAATATTGCGCGTGAATACCAGCCAGGTGCAGCTGCCAAGCTCATTACCAAACCAGACAGAATCTTCCATGGTACCGTCATATTACGGAGTCAAAGTATATACAGGTAATCTGAACGTATCCGTACGGTACGGGCAGGTCTCGCTACCCACCAACGCCTCAGAAGGCAGACTTCTTGAAACCGCTACCCGACAGCATCACTTTTCTCTCCCGCCAGCAGCAACAGTCACCGTCACGTCAAACTTCTCGCTGGAACAGTCATTGATTGACGTTGTGACAGCGCCCTCGTTTTTCTTCACTTTCTCTATCTCTCGTCTCTCTCGTTCTAGCCCCTCCGCGACTTGCTCCTCTCCCTCCCTCATCCCTCTCTTCACCAGCGTGTCCGTTCCTTGGCCCACGCCTGCCAAGTGGATTTGGACCTGGCAGATCGGAATCCCTCGTCCATGCCACGACCAGGAGGCACGGGCAGGAAGACTCATCACGGAAATCGACATGAGAACGGCATCGCTGTTACCGGGAAAAAGCTCGCCAAGTCAAAGTCAAATGGCCACCTGAATGGCAATCCTAATAGTGCACAGTTGCCCGCGCCCTCTTCGCACGCCTCAGGCACTCCGTCAGGTCAACCTCAAGCAATAACGCCTGCCAAGTATCACGAACTAGGTGGGATAACGTACTCAACCAAGATGGAATCCAACGGGCGGGCTCAAGCAAACGGATATGAACAAGTCAGCGCGACCATGTCGAACGGACACTCGTTCCCACTCGCTTCGACGAACGGAGGAGTCATGCCAGCAACTGTGTTTGGGGATCAAACTTCAACAAACGTGGACAAGTCAGCCGGTGGCGCCTCGTCGTTGAAGAAGACATCGTCGAACAGCTCGGTAAACCCGTTTTCTTTGGCCTCTGCGATTCTCAAATCATGCCCGATGTACGACACTATCGCGATCCTTATCTTTCTCTTACAATTGCCTCCCATCGTCTTGACCCTTGTCCAGTTTTTGTTTGCATCTTTGACCTTCATGCCTCCTGCCGGTGTGTCCACGAACGTTTTGACCTCGAATTTCGACATTTTCCAGGGCCCGGCCGGAACTCCGTCACTTTCAACTATGATCGCCATGGATGGATTCTGTCTCTTGGTTTGGGGTCTGTTTATGTGGACGTGGGCGCAGAATTTTGCCATAGATCTCGCTCAGGTCCAGGTTGCGATCACGATGGGAGGAGGCAGCTCGGGGAAAAATGAAGGAGTCAATGCTTTTTGCGTCATGATGGTTTTGATCGTGCACGTCGTTCGGAGTAAAGGTGTTCAGGACTTTGTTATCAGTTACCTTTTGTCGGCCAAACTTATAACTACGGATACGCTCGCTCAATATTCCCACCTGGTTCCTCAAGAATGGCGACGGAAAGAGCCTCCATCCCCCCCAAGCTGGTTGCGAAGTCTACTTGCTGTTCATATCCTTGCACAAGCAGGCACTGCTATGGCAAGGCGCTCGATGGCCAAAAACCGCTCTTCCACACCGTCAAAATCCGGAAGACGAACTGACACGGAAGCATCTGCCGGTTCCCCAACTCACGTCGATTCATCTGCGTTCGAATCTGCTACGAATGGTGCGTCTCTTTTAACCCCTGATGGTGCTGTCATAGGACCATCACTACTAAAGGAAAACCGAGAACGACTTTCCAGCGCAAAGAGAAGACGAAGACAAGCGAATCAAGTGAGAAGTAGACAACCGTTTTGGGCTGCTTTGGCCAGTACCAAAGTCACCGTTATGCGAGAGTATGATCATTCGCGAAATGGAACATGGTCCACTCCTCACCACCCGGTCACTGAGGACGATGTCGAAGGGCTTCCTTTGAACGATGGTTTTATATGGATTACACAGGTAGATAATTCCTCGATTATGTTCGCGGCAAGCGATTTTGCTCAAGTAGATGATGCTATATACGAGAATAGCGATCAGGATGTTCGAGGGCAACCTTTTTATATCAGAGTTAACGGTGCTCACTGGGCTCCTGTTACTCTTTCTAGAGTACGTAAGAACCCAGACGAACCCTCGCTTGTCTGCTGGAGAGGTGAAATTTCCGGGCTGGCGCCAGATTGTGCGTACACTTGCAGCTTCATCCGCAACGATACGAATGAAACTATCTGTGTCATGAGTGTGAAAACTCCGCCCACCCCCGACACAGACCAAGGTAAAACGAATCCAATCTAAGTCCATATATTCTCTTTATAGAACTACCACTGACATAGTCTTGCAGCACTCTCGGCCATTAATGTGTCACCGTCGCCACGGCAATCTCTCCGGCCCTCTTCTCCCACCACTACCATCAAAAATTCCATTGCGAATGCCGAGGCAAAGTTGAATGAACGTCGTGCACGGCTCAAGCGGTCAAAAAATGATCACAAGCTACTTATTTCCAAGTTGAAGAAAGAGGTTGATAACTTCAATACACGTCTCAGCGGTGGTTCCGATAAAAATCGGCAGAGGCAAAGATTGCTACAACTTGAGCGCACAATTAAGCAGACCGAAGAAGCTACTATCGCCATTGATGTTCAGTTACGGAATCTAAAAGCTACCCCGGAAGAGGAACTAGAAGAGTGGAATTCTCGAAAATGTGCCTTTGATCAAGAGATGGATCGGGTGAAATCACTCAAGGAGGAAGTGGACGCCGCAAGGAGGACGGCAAACCGTAGTGTAGCTTCAGCGAAATCAGAACTGGCCTCGGCCATCCAGAAGCGGGAGCGACTCCAAGGGCGTCAACAGCGACTAACCGAACAGCATGAACGCATTACAAGTGCTAATAACCAGGGTCTCAATGAACTTGAACGGAGAGCGGCGGAGCAGCTTGCTAAGGAACGCGAACGTGCTAGTATCGAAGAAAGCTTCAACGATCAATTAACAAGCATTACTCGCTCGATTCAGGATTATCAGATTCGGACGGGGCACCTCTGGCAGCAAGCTACGGCCGTAGAGCAGGCCTACCAGCAGCAGCAACAACAACAAATGCTGATGAGTGCAGGGCCCCTCACTCCGGAAGGCAATCTACCAGGAACCAATCCACCGCCTCATGAAGCTGGCACATCTACGATGTCTCCAATGCCTTTGACTACGAAATCCTTTTCGGGCTCAATCTACGCCAACTTTGGTGTCAACGAATCCGGGGGATTTACCGACCGCCAAACTTCAATGTCGCCCGTTGTAGCTACTTCCCATTTGATGAGTGTGGAGCAGCAACAACCATACCCTTCCTCTCCATTGGCTACCGCTGACCCTTTCTTTGGACCCGAACTAATCACGCACCGCCATCGATCACTCTCCAATTTCTCTGGTGCTAGCTTGCCAGCAGAGCAGCTCCCAACACGACTACGAGATTCGCCTGATTCTACGTGCGAGACTAACCCAAAACGTGCAACACATTTTGGGCCAAGTGCTCGCCGGTTTACCAGAGCTGGTAGCCAAGGCAGCGCTAGCGGTAGTGGTAGCGGCACTGGCAGTGGGAGCGGAAGCCCTCATTCTAGTCGAGAGAAACCGAGTTGGTGCTAAAAGTTGTAGAACGTCCTTTCATCATTTCGGTCCTTTTCGATATTGCATTGTTGTCCTGCTACATCTACCTCCACGTGCCTGCTTAACCCGTCCAACCTTTGGCTTGCGTTCTAGATACCGGAGAGAAACTAGCGGTGCTACGTTCGATAGACCTCAAAATTCTCATGCATGACTTCAGCATACTTTAGCCCTTTCCAATATTATTACTACCCCTATCGTGCATCCAGGGACCAACCGCTCAGCACTGTCAACTCAGTTTCTCACTGTATGTGGCGGAAATGCTTAGTTACAGCGTACATTATACTTTCGAAAAGTCTTACGGACATACATGTTTATAAAACTTTTTCCCTCGGATTTTGGCGTGTGGTTGGACAAAATGTACAACTTAATGTACAGCTTGGAACTTAGGAGTACGTACCCGGGAAGGGGGAAGGAGGAGGAGACGAGAAAACGAAGAGGAATTCCCCTATGGAAAGCTTGCACAACTCTCTTTGCCCTTCTTGGCCATTAGACAATGCGGGAAGGGAGAACGACTGCCAACCAGCAATCAGGACAAGAGTAGGTAAAATTAAAAGAGTTTTCTGCGCACAAAATCCTTTTTTTTGAATCCCACAAAGAACTATTTAGGCATCAGACATCTTGAGCGAATATATTTAAACCCATCATTCCATCGTTCAGTTGTATGGCTTTACTTTTTCCTTTCCTTTCATTCCTTCTTCCTTTCTTTCGTATTTTGCATTTTTTTCCACTTTTTTCATTCTCATGACGTGATTATGATTTCGTAGAACACCCTGCCTAATGTGTTAAATGGAGGCACCCAACCCCACACACGGCTTCCTTCCATACGCCGAAAAGGGATATTAAGAGGTAAAGTCTATGCTTTCTCTGGGGCCTTGTTCGATCCTTCAACGTAAGCATGTAGAGTCCCTGAATGGGAGGAGTACTTTAGTATAAAATTTTATTTATTCTATTGGGATGAGTGAAGCGAAGGAGAGTGAAAATAATCACTAGAGTAAACGCCTGACGGATATATGTATACATATATCAAAAAATCCATCTACAACAAACACCTAGAAAGCACGCAGCTCAATGTGAACCTCCGTTTCTACCCCATATTTATTAAAGCAGCAGTTAGTGATATGTATTATATTGTGTTGTATAAAGGACGCCAAGTCCCCAAAACTGACCCCCCAATCTCAGCCCACCGAGATATTCTCTCCAATTTTCCAGAACCGCGTATCAGCGTAGGTCAAGCATAAATGCTCCGGACTATGTGCCTCTACAGGATCGGATGCACCAGCTGCCTCTTGGCGAATGATGTTCACTACCCGCCCCAGTATAATGACGTGGTTTCCTACTTTGACGCTCCGCGGGAGATATTGGCATTCGAAGATGAATGGGAAATAATCTGCACTCGTGATAGGTGTAGTGATACCGCTTGCATCTGCTCGTGCCTTTTCCGTGGTAAAGGAGGATTTGCCGCCCATCTCCGCTGCATGGCCTATCAGAGCAAGACGGGGCGGTTCCCCCTTCGTAATCGATGACCGCGCCCACCCACCCTCATGGCCCCCGCTCATCGGGACAAATTTGAAAAACCGTTCCCTCTCATCAGCAAGCATGACATTTGCATTTCCTCGGGAGAAGTCCCTGGCCAGCCGCGCAGTTGCATCCGTGGGCGCCAGCAGGTGGACGAGGAAACGGGACGAAGCGTGGATGGCGTTGAACGTTTCGGAGGGGAGTTTCACATTGAATGAGACGATGCTTTCCGGGTAGAGCGTTACTGTGTTGAAGGAGGAGACTGTCATGCCCCGAAAGGCAGTCTGTGCTGTGGGCGCTTTCGGGTCGGTGGATGTGATTATTGCGACGGGGTGCGGGACACGGCGCATGAGCAGGCGCACTTGGTCGCCGATTTGGTTTTCGGGGGCACTAGTTGCTTCACGCTGTGTTCGCGTTGTGGCCTCTGGAGGTTCACAGGTATCCTCGTCCACGATTACTACGTTTTCAGCAGCATTTGTTTGGGAAGTGTAGTAATCTATGCGTCGCACGATTGTATCCGATGAATTGTTCGTGCTCTGCGGAGAGGTGGCTCGCGGGATGCGACCGGGTAAAACTGGGCGGATTGAATCCGTAATACTTGAGGCATGCTTGGATAGGATAGTTCGAAGTAGCCCGTAGAAACGAGGGTAATCGCCCCTTGTAGGGGAGGAGGCCAGGTATCCATGATGTGGATGTAGATGCGGCCGCTTGACGTTATGGTGCAAGTAGAAGAACGCCCTGGTTCCCTGAGTGCTGCGGAGGCTCGAGAAACAGCCGCCCGGCAACATCTTCCTGAATGATTAAGGTCCAGAAGATACCTTTCCTGCAGCCATTCATCTTTTAAAGTGATGAAGCATGTCCACAGTTTTAAGAAGAGAGAGACAATTGCATCTTCCCGTTAGTCAACCTTGATAGTAGATAGAAAATGAAATCAAAATCTTGGAAAAAAGTCGCTTAGGTAAGCGACGATATCAAAAAATTAATTATTCTTCAATATGGAAGACACCACCACGGTCACTCTTTTAACAATCCCAACTCTTCCGGGCGCAATTAATTCAATTAAACGCCCGAATACCTAGTTCAAAATCGATACCGTCCCTCCAATAACCCCCCAATACGCTAAAGTCATCAAGCAAGAGAAGAATGTCCCTCCACCTCCCCATCCGCCGGACATCCACCACCGCCCTCTCCAATCCCACCAGAACCACCTTCATCTACACACAATGCAGACATGCAACACTCCTCAGACGGCCCAAGCGCCCATACACCTTCACCCAGCTCATAACCCTCTCGGACGGCAGCACCTTCACCCACCGCACCACTTCCCCCATTGCCGTCTACCGCTCAACACGCGACACGCGCAACGCACCACTGTGGAACCCGTCCAGCGAGAAGCTGCGAAACGTCGAGGAGGATGAGGCAGGGCGGCTAGCGGCGTTTAGAAGCAAGTTTGGTCGGAGTTGGGATGCGACGGGTACGGCGGCCGCGGAAGGAGCTTCTTCTTCTGCTGCTGCTGCGTCTGCTACTCCTGCTACCACTACTACGACTGCTGCGGCAGGACAGGCTGGGGTTGATGCGAAGCAGGCTGAGGATACGGCTGTGGAGTTTGAGTTTGAGGAGGATGAGGAAGAGGATAATTTGTTGGATTTGATTAGCTCGTTTGGTCAGACGGAGGGGAGTCAGGAGGCTCAGCCGGAGAAGGGGAAAGGGAAGGGGAAGAAGAAATAAGGGGATCTAGGCTCCTCTTCTTCTTTAATTGTTTACCTATGTTTCTGTGCTGAGACTTGCTTTTTTTTTTATTTTATTATTTTATATATGGGATTGTATGAATATGTATGGAGTATTTTGTTTTTTTCCTGGTTGAGAAACTTTTCCCTCTTCTTGTATGTTCTGTATAGTGTAGTGTGAATTACTGTGAATGTGATATTAACAGATCGATGTAGTGATATCTTCTCTAGATTCTAGGACAGCTATCGTGGAAGATAGGACCAGGCCTGCATAATGCATCTAAGTTAGGCGTGAGGGCTCATTATTCGAATATACCCATGTCGAGCGACTCAATGAAGCCTGATGGCCATTCCAAGCATTCCAAGGTCAAAGTACGAAATATATCACCGAAATGAAATATATGATCCTAGCAGACGTAAACTATGGCCAGACAAGACGGTTCGATAATTTCGACGGCATAAATTATGTAACTCACAAAGGAACAAATCTTCGGAATGTCATCATCAAATTTACTCTCTGCTATACAGTTGTTGCGCACAAGTAGCAGATAGAGGAAGCAAGGAAGAAACGAGTAACGGAAACGAAAATACCCTGATAATCATGCCTCCTGTTCTGTGGTAGTAGGCTCTACATCATGTCCGCCATCGGAAGCACCTGTCACAGCCTCCGACGTTGCGGGTTCAAGTTTGTTGTAATAAGGGTTTGTATCGTCGTCAGCATCAAGTTGTAGGAGGAATGTCTCCCAAAGTTCAATCAACTACGAGATGACACAAGTCAGTGATTTTGTCATGAGGTCCGTGGAGGACGCGAGCTGGTGAGTAAATTGGCGGCGGAAACTAACCTCCTTCTGAGCCTCAACAGCACTCTCCAAAAACGTTTCGACGCCAGATTTAAAGTCCTCCACCTTCTCCTTCTCAAATTTCTCTAGCTCATTCCGCATAATTCTACCCATGTCTTCAAACAAAAGACGGGTCTGATGTACCTTCCGCTCCGCATCAGCCACGTCTGCGGCAGCCTGGTTCAGCCTATCCTGCTGGGACTTGCCCTGTCTGAGGAGTTTGTCCTGGGAGTTTTTCCTCTTTTGAAGTTCCGATTCAGCCGCGTGCCAATTGTGGAAAGATTTTTGCCGTTGAGAGAATGCCATCTTGACACTTCCGATTAGGCGGATATATTCGTCAATCGTAATTCCTAGCGTCAGAATATCCTGTTGGGCCTGGCGTTCGTAGAGTTCCTTTATTCTTAGCTGTAGATCTGATAGTCCCTCGAGCGGTTCTGAGAGCGTTGGAGAAAGTTCGACAGTCGCGAGGGAATGAAGCGATGCTGAGAAGTCATTCGCAGCCTCCGCAAGGCCCTTTCGTTGCGCAACCACAGTGTCGATGGCTCTTAATAACCCTTTCAGCTGATTCTCCAGGGCATCAAGGTATATTTTGCGATCGTGAAACCACTGTGGAGATTTAGTAACCAAACTATACAACACGCACACAAAGAAAAAAAAAAAAAAACACTCTCCCATATTATCATCCTAGGGGAATTCACGCACATCATCATGTTCAACAAACTTGCCCGGCCCGCCAACAGATATGCCTAATGAGCTGAACATGCCTTTACTTTGGCCGATATCTGGTTCGCGGTTCTCTTTGTTCTTCACATCCAGGTTGAAAGTATCGCTCTCCAGGAAGATTTTCAGGTCTCCATCGTGCTGTAGTATATGATGCGCGGCAATTTTGTTGAGCATACGCTCTAATGCGGCTCTTCGCGATTCAACAAAGTTTGTATCAAAACGGCCCACAGCCTGCTTTTCCGGAGGTGGGGGAACCACGACCCCAGGGTTATTACTGTGCAACGAGTTATATAGCCATAGGAAATCTCGATACCGCCGGCTAACTGTGAATTCGGGTTGCCGATACGCTTTAGACGTAGTCTGCGGGAACAAATCGCTGTCAGCTAAGATACAGGAGAAATGCCTTTCGTAAACATCAGAAAGAGAAGGTACGGACCTTCGTCCTAACTTGATATACAATGTGACTGCTTGTAATATCCCCAACTTTGTGCGGATCTCCAACTGTAATCTCAAACGACGGTTTCGCAGCCTGTTCGACAGGAATACTTGGCTGCGTCTGGCGCTTCGGGGCATCAATAGGGGAGTGGACAGGCGGAGGGCCCTTCATTCTCGCACGCGCAGGCTGGCCCTCATCGTCCAAGTCCACAGAGTCCATCAACCCGCCAGCGGACGACTGGGATGTAGATGAGGCCGGACGGACATTTCTGCTCGCGAAAGGTTCTTTTCGGGGAGGGGTCGGGGCTTGGTCCGGGTATGACGGGATGGAAGGGAAGGACTTGTCGCCCAACGGGCCAAGCGGATCGAGAGAGTCGTCGACGGCTTCCAGCCTCGTTGCCTGTGCGCTGATTTTGCGAGGGGTGCGCGGTCCTCTGCCTAGCGGAGATCGGGGGGCTGTTAAGGTTGAGAGGGGGCGTTGCTCGGTCTCGTTTGCTATGCGCAACCATTGGGGTCAACAAGAGTTCAAGTTTGATCTATTCTGCAGGTCATTAGAGGGACACAGGTTGCGTACCAGTGGCAGAAGATTCTTGCCTTTCGGTAGGTGTGGACTGGGACGGAACGTCTGCGAGAGGCAACAATTGTTAGATGTACTGACTGTATGTAATCTGTGAGGGGAGAGAGCGATGATGCCTAGCTTACCACCCCAGGGCGAGTCGCCCCCTACTAAATCCATGTTTCAGGGGTATATTGCCCTTTGCTGTGAGAATTAATTGTGATCCAGTCAACTAATAAAGAAACCAGCGATATACTAGTTGTTGGTGATGGAGGTTGTGGTGGGATAGATTGCAGCTTGTCTTGCAGCTGTCTTGGGGCGAGAGTCGGACGATGCTGATGTTTGTTCCGTACGGTACCAGCCGCCGCTGTACAGAATACCAAAATTACAAGTCGCGTAATATATTTTCTAAAGAAACCAACTAGAAAGCAGAAACTGATATTGGAATTTAGATATCGTCTCTATGCTCTAAAATTAATGATAACTAATACTGCTATAACCCGGAAACCTGTCTGATCCAGAGAGGGTCATGTTGAAAACAACCTCTTGCTAACCATCCATTCCGGATATGAAAGTTGATATCACGGTAGGGAGAGAAAAGTTCCACCGGTCCTATATCGTCAAAAGGGTGTTCTTCCGTAAAGCAAGACATGCCGTGAAATCATCCATCAGGGCTTCTGATATTGGGCGTGCGCGTCATTGTATGTGCGGAGCTGTGTTTTACCAAGGTTATGAACCTGTTTCCACAGGTCACGTCATGGCTTCACCCATGGCAAACCAAGCTTATGCATTTCGACCGCCAGCTGGAAAAGATAATCCAAGCTCTCGCACTGCGTCTTGGCTTTTGCGACATCGTCTCCCCAGACATATCTGGTAAAAGGAAGCGACACTGTTAGTACAAGCCGGACAACTAAAGAAAGAAATTCGATATTTTGAAGGGGAGGGATAAATTATATGCGCGCAGATATTATGAACTAAAGAAAACTCACATGCCATGCCTCCGGACCAGAACCGCATATGTATCCGGGTACTTCTCCATAGCCTCCTCGAGGCTAGATGTCAAATCCTCCTCAAACGCCGTATTCTCAATGATGGGTATCTTGAGCGTGTCAAAGAAACCCATCATGCCTTTCCCCTTGCCTTTTGGTATCCCCTTGATTTGCTCAATGTTGCTGATCTCAAAACAACCCTCCAGCCCCTTCTCACGCTCGACGAGAAGGGTTACAAGGACGGCCCATTGCGAATGTGTATGGATGCAGCACCCCGCGCCACGATCGAAAGCAGCCAAGAAGAGGGGCGTGCAGGCAGATGGCTTGAGCTCGAGTGGTTTGCGGATATATTGGCGCGCTGATGGAGGGTATTTTGGGGTGGGATATTGCAGAACAAAGATGTTGTGGGGTTGGATTAATTCTTTCTGGACGCCGGATGGAGCTATGAAGATGTGGTTATCTCGCTTGATGGATGCCTATATTTATGTATGGAGAATAAAATTATCCTTTGGTTAGTATTCAAAGGGGCCTGTTTTTATAGAAATGACAGAAGGTGTTGGATATATATATATATATATATATATATATATTAACTGCCATAAATATATTGAGGTATTTGATCTAGCTTACCCCGCCTCCAGTCCCAGTAACCCAGCCATGGCCGTAGA